CCAATACTCTTTATATATTATTTATTTTCTTTATGGTAAACTCATGGGTTACCCACGACCCTAATGGGTTGACCCATTAAACCCATAACCCTATAAGGATAACCCACCAAAACCCGTTTATTTATATGGGTAACAAAATTCAATCCAAACCCGCTAAAATTATAGGCAGGTTTGGGTAACCTGTGGGTATTAACCTATTTTGACACCCTAATTAAATGGAATTGTATCATTTAAATGGAAATAGCTCAGTGTCAGAGCTAAACCAAAAAACTTTGGTTTCTCCGCACGGCGATATTTCTTCCCCCACCACTTTCCTTTGTTACGATCAGATCTGACCGGTGGTGGATGGCTTCTTAAGCATCGCCGCCGGTCCTCCTTTCTTATATTTTAGCTTTGTTCTCATGGTGAGAGATGGTGGTTGGTTCTGGTCACTGTTGGGGGATTACGGTTCTCGTCAAGGGTGAGATCTCTGTGGGTTCGTGGTGCCGGTTCTATGTGCGACGGGCCATTGATCTTGCGATCTCCTCAGGTTTGGACTTTTGGTTATTATCTCCTTGTCTTTGCCTCTGTTTTTCTTCAAGGTCAGATCCAGTTTTGCTATTCTCTTCATAGTCCTTCTAGGCTCCGATTTGTGTATTTGTGGAGCTCTTTTGTGTAGTTTCTTTGTGGGTTTCAGTTCTTCCGGTGAATTATGGGGATTGTGGCAATGTGTTGGTGCTTCGGTTAGTTAGAGAGTGGTTTTAGATCCGGTTCATGTGCAATGTCGTTTAATGTACTTCGATTTAGGCTTTGGTGGAATGACTGGCGTCAGTTTGTCCTCTGATGTAGCTTCTCTGCTCATGAACGCGCCTCCTCTTAGTGTCCTTTAACTCTTGATCTTTTGTGCTTGTGTATTCCGGTCTCTTTGGTTACTTTCTTTGGTGAAGAGTCTTCATTTCATGCTTTGTTGTTTACGGGTTTTGAAGAGGAGAGCGGTCTCGAGGCTCAATTTAGACTATTTGGGATGTTATCGCGCCTTCAAACTCTGTTGCTTCCGTCGCTTGGATGGTGTTTCTTCTTGATTGATCCTTTTGCTTTGGTCCCTCTATATTTGCTCATACTGTGCCTGCTTGAAATGGTGACTTCTCTGCTCAGTTACGGTAGTGTGTCGTTTGGACTTATGGCATGTCGGACTCGCGCCTTTTGGCTTGTCTTTCCTGTAGTCTGATTTGGTCTTCATCCATCCACCATTTCTTTGCCCTTGGGTAAGGTTTGTGACTGAACTTGTTCTATTTCTCATTTCTAGTAGTTTTAGCGGTGAAAAGCTAGCCTTTGTAGTTTGGTTTGAACGTAATGATTCCTTTGATGTCCTTTATATGGGCTTTGTATCTGGGGAATTCAAGGTTGTCCGCTGACTTAGCCTCTGATTCCGGCTTTGTAATCTTTTCGGTTGCAAACCAAAAAAAAAAAAAATGGAAATAGCTTAGTGGAAAATGACAAAGGACAAATATTCCTCTAACTAAACAATAACATTACAACAAAAAACCATATCTAATGACCTAAATCGACACTGCTTCAG